AGGTCGCTATCCCGGAACTTCGAACCCATATAACCGACCCAACTAGTTCAGTTTTCGTAAACAGTTATTGTTATTTAATATAATGCGCACAATATACGAACTTAAGCAAAGTTATAATATTGCAATAATCTCCACATGTAACACGGTGTTATCAGAAGAGTTTTCGACAATGTATAGATTTTTTACCGTATTAGGTTAATTTGACCTACAACAATAGGTAACTCTTCATAGCAAGTCTTATGTGCGTGAAGTAGAATAATAACCTGTTATAACTAGTTAGATTGCACTAATGAATGTAAACAATTTTTACACTGTCAGTGAATATAATTCTGTGCACTGACAGTGTACAGACTTTTTACACTATCAGGTTAATTTGACCTACAACAACAGGTAATAAGAACAAAAACTGCGAGAAATTCAAGTTTTTAAGACTAACCTAAAAACAAATTTTATCGTCATCATCAACTTCGCTTAACCTCCGTAACATCAGCAACAACATCACCAACATTGTCGGATGAAGAAACATTTTTAGTATCCAAGTCTTCGCGCTTGAAAGAGGGCAAAGGATTGGAGCCTTTAATAATCCAACCAAGCGCATAAAAAGATAGCCCAGCTAATATAGCAGTACCCCAAGCGTGAGAATACCATTTGCTGTACTGCCGAATAGCGAACCTCCATTGCTCTCTCAGTGTTGCCGGGTCCGGATTTGAACGGTCCGGCGGGTTTGGGTAGTTATGGCCACCGGAAAATCCGCCGTTAGAGGATCCGCCGGAGATTTTAGGTGGATTTTTTGACGGCGGTTGAGGGAGGTTGTCGGTGGGTTTAGGGTTTTGATGGTCGGTCATAGTGATGGAGATAGAAATTCAATACTGATGAAGGCAAAATGCTGTTCTACTTTTGCTTCTGTGAGAGACTGTGAGTAAAGCTTCAGCGCTCGCCACGTTAGCATCTTACTTTTTCTTTTTTCGTTTTTTTCCTTTATTTTCTTTTTGAGTAACCAAAAAATACTCTTTTGTTTGTAAAAATATATATTTTTAATCGCTCCTAAAAATAATAGTCAAAATAATAATATTTTTTAAATATATATATATATATATATATATATATTTTTGCTAGCGAATGCAATTAATTTCTGATGATTGACCAATTTTATTTTTGTTTTTTTTTCTTTTCCTATATTTTATCAAAATATTATTATATTGGGGGGATAGGAAAAGGGGAAAATAAGGATAGGGAAGAAAAAGAGGACATATGATAATGAGAATTAAACTAACACTTATTACGAGAGACTCCGAATCTTGATCGACAAATAAATTCAACACAAATCTTGATTAATAAGTAGATTTAACATGTTCTCACATGATACCACTAAATTATAAGTCTTGATCAACAACTATGTTCACCTCGAAAATTCATTATATGAGAGCTTTATTTTTTGCTAGTCTATTTTGTTTCCTTTGATGATAGTGGAACGAAAAGATACAAAAAACGAAACTCTAAACACTCAAAATCAAAGTCCGAGCTCTTAAAAATTTTGAGTGTTCAAATAGATTTAGAAACTTATGGCGTTTAAGTTATATAAATTTGATCCAATTATGTTCAATAGAATAATCAACATTTACCATAGATTGACATGTCTTGTTGATAGAAGAGATTGATTTCCATTTCTAAGGATCAAAACTTATTACAACAAATTGAGTTAATCCAAAAAGGCAGAACCAAATGCACACTCACTCCTACTCTATGGTTAGTAAGAGATGTATATTAAAGACAATATGAGATAACCCAGCCGCCTTCAAATAGTGGATTGTTTTTAAAAAAATATATCATCTATAAAGAAATGAGTCCAGAAAACTGGATTAAATAGCTTTATTAGTAGTAAATGGTGTTTCCATGATACTTAAGAAGTCTCTAGTAGTAGGAAAAATAAATCAACTTCTAAAAATAGAAACAAGAGAGTAAAAGAGAAGACAAATGAACACAGCTAAAGCTCAAAGTAACAAAAGCAAACAACCTAATTAACTCACTAATGAAAACGAAATATCATATCCTTCCCTATGAGGATTTTTATTTAGTTAACGTATTGATACTCCAAACAGAAATAACCTCTTGCAGAAATGAAATATAAGGTTGCGTACATACGATCCAATGTGGTTCGACCCTTTTTCAGATTTTGCGCACAACGGGAACTTAATACACCGTGTTGTCGATTGATGCTCCAAACAATAATTAAAGTAAAGTTTGTAGCTTTTGAACAAAAGCATCAATATAAGAATCCTCAAGCCCTTTGCTTAATAAGAACTCCCTCCACTTTGCGCGATTAGCTCTTATCTCCCTTCCCTCTTCACTATCACCATTCATTACCATTTTTATGGCCTTACAAACACCCTCTCTAGTAAACAATCCATTCTCTTCATCTCTCTCAACTTCAACTCCAACTCTCAAATCTCCACCAAACAATCGTGCGTTAATAAATTGATCACCAAAATTTGGGACTAAAACCAATTGACACTCAGTAATCATAGCCTCAGATAAAGAATTTCCACCACAATGAGTAACAAAACATCCCACAGAAGGGTGTGATAAGATCAGTTGTTGCTCTGCCCAACCTGAATGAACAATCCCTTTTCCTTCTATTCTCTCTTTGAAACGTTCTGGTAATGCATCTTCAATTGTCTCGGCTTCAAAAGGCGGTTTTAAGGCAGCAAAAAATGGAAGACCAGTAAGTTCTAGACCTAAAACAAGTTCTTGGAATTGTTCTTTCTTGAGCTTGCATTCACTACCAAATGCACAAAAAATCACTGTCTTTTCTTGGAATTTTTCTAGCCACTTAGACAAATTTTCCTCTAGATTTGAAGTATCTATTGGTTCTGGCAATATTGGTCCGGCTAAAACAACTGGTTTCTTGAACTTATTCTCAACAAATTCACAATATGGTCCTTCAATTTCCTTAGAAGTTTTGAATGCAATGATATCCCCATCTTGAAAAGCCAAAAGTAAACGTCGCGTAAAGGACACTGATCCTGAGCCTGAGCCGGAACCACTAGATTCTTTCCCTATCGAATGTAGAGCTGCGATTAAACGAGCTTCATATTTGTGAAGTTTGATAGATGAATTAGGAGGAAAACCAAGTGGAGGTTCCATCATTTCATCCTCTGGAGTTGGTTTTTCGCCACGCATAAGATAACCAACAGATGAAGGAGTAATAGAACAGTAATGTATTGACTTTACTCCATATTTTCTAGCAACTAATGGAACCCAATATGCAAAATCATAAAGAATGAAATGGGGTTTGAGTTCTTGAATTAAAGACTCAATCTTTTGTTGTGTAAGATCCAATGCTTGCCAAAGTAGATTTTGCTTGAAAATAGAAATGTCTGAAGTTGTTTCAGCTCCAAGTGGGAGACCTTCAACATGTGGAACTTTGATTGATATGAAGTTTATGAGTTGAGGGTAAAGATTGAATTTTTCCAATTTAGAAAGTGTATTGGTAGGATGAATAAAGAAAATTGTGTGGCCTCTGTCTGCTAATTTGTTGGAGAGATGAAGAAATGATGTAAGATGTCCCATTGCATACCATGGATACATAATAAAAGTTAGCTTCTTGTCCTCCATATTTATTTTTCTTTGATCTGCAAAATCAACAATTTGTATCAAAAGGTAGTACTTCCCTCCCATTAACAGAAAGAAAAAAGAAAAAAAAAAACAACCTCGTGATTATACGAAAATGTAGACTCACAGCTTGTTTGGATTATTGTTATCTATTGTATCATATCTGATTCGTTACTTTAAATCTCGTATCGTTAAATCCGTCATCACATAACAACGAAAAGTGTCACTCTATGTAACGACCGATTTGGTGTGATCGCGTCGTTACCTTATTTTTTCCTCTCATCTTGCCTTTCCTTATTATTAAATAATCATATTTTATCATTTATCTTACCTTTAGATATAATAATTTTACCCCATACCTTACATTTTTTTTGTAATATTGCAAGTTTATTATTCATGTTGTCGGTGCATGACATCATGAAACGACGACAAACAATATCATCTATCCAAACATTAAATACATTAAAATGATACAGTACAATACAATACGATACGATATGGTACATTATCAAATAATACATAATAACCATCCAAACAAGCTGTCAGTGACATGGTTTTTTGAGAGGTAAACCATTAATGACAGTAACAACAAGTAAAGTAACACAGTAATTCCATTAAAAATTTCAGTAGGAACAAATGCTCTAATTAGAATATCCTCATAAAGTCACTCAAAAAGAGATTAATCACTCATTTTAACAAGTAACACAGTCCAACCAATTCCCCAAAAATATAAATTTGTAGAAAATTCGAACTAATAACTAATCCCAATATGGAAGTACTCTCATATAAGCAAAAAATCTCAAATAGCCTTGATCAATGAGCCATATAATTTTCACTATAAATAAGAATCATAATTCCAACACTAGTGATTAATATTGACATAATTGAAGTAAGTGGATTATCAAGTATCCGAAGTTTAAGAAAAATCATTATTGATGATCTAAAACCATACATATTGGTAAAAAGACAGTTATTTATTTGCTTAATAGACATGTACGTAGATTGAAATATCATAACTATACTTAACAATAAAACGCTTTGAAAGCGAAAACTTTTTGTTGTTTGCTGGAATAAGAATAAGTCTCGCTTCTATTAACATAGGGATTGGAAGTGGAATGAAAGGTATGATCTATGCATATTTATGTCTGTTAAGGACTTACCAATTTACCCTCAAACTGGTGTGATGAAATGTTTGTATTAATCCTTCGTTTTTAATAAGACGTTATGAGCTTGAGCATAAAAACTCCTGTAAAGAAGGTTTTCTGATGCATGATTTAATCAAGAGGGACTCTTTCAAGATCCTTTAAATAAGACTCTCAATCTCTTATTCACAGAAAGGTTAGTGTTAACTTTCTGCCTCCAAATATATTTTATAGTTTCTGAGAAATTATCGGGAAAAAAAATGAAATAAAAAGTTAAAGATCGTGATTCAAGAGGCAATAAAGTAGGAGTAAGTGCGTAGCTCTAGCTATTATGAGCTTATTCCTTAGGTTTTAATTAAGCTAGTCTTTGGTACCCGCTAAATTATATAAATATTATTAAATAATACTCCTATATTTGAAACATAAGCTAAAAATTTTAAAAACAAATCCTAGAAATGGTGAATATCAATCTAATTAGTTAGTTCAACCAAGAACCATGACACTTCTACGATCATAATATTCATGTCATTAATGGTGAAATATAAAAATTATAGTTAAAATTGTTTCCAATTATAAAGGTTTCCCAAAATCTATTGGAGAAAAATACCTGAAAGGAAAACGTCAAAAATAAAGATTCATGCAACAAATTAAAGTAGAGAAAGAAGGTAGGAGGAAATACGTGGTTAGCTATGAGAATATTTCTGAGGTTGTAATTAAATAACTCAAGTTGATTAAAAATGGATTCAAATTGTATACAATTAAAGTGTAATTAATATTTTATATCGTTTATTATAGTTTACTTATCATTTATTCTATATTAATAATTAAAATAAAATTATCTATAATTACCTTTTAAATAATTAGGTTGTGTAATATTTTTCACAATTTTCGTGCATAAAAGTTAACCTTATTAAATATTTACGCAGAAAGAAGGATGTGGGTGTGAGCTTATTTTCAAAATTATAATTATGATAATAAAAATATATCATAATTATTTGTGATTATAAATTATATCATCAAGTTTTCAAAAAAATAAAACATCACAGACAACAAAAGAATTAATTTTGGCAGTTAACGAATAAATGGATGCTCTTAGACGAACTTAGACATTAGGCCGTCATTAATTATTATATTGTATACGGTCGAAATGGATTTCAGCCTTGGTTGTCCGGTACGGTTCGAAGGGTGGTGTATCGAAGTAAGATTCCGGAGAGGGGCACGAACTAACCTAGAGCCCGGGGAGGCCGGTCCGTGTTGAGATCGATATCATAATCAAACTCGAACAAGAATCGAACCATAGCGCGGGTAGATCTATCGTGTTGATAATCCAAAAACCAACCTACATCGACCTGGAATCTATCCGAGGGCTCGAACCAAGATCATGAGTTCAAGCCGAAATCAAGCTCGAACCAGAATCGAGGATTCTAAGCAAGTTCGAGCTCTCAGACAAAAGCCGTTGTAATCCCACTAGAGGGAATCTTGGCAGAAATTATGGAAAAGCTGATTTATCATGGGTCTCCCATTGAATAATTATTTTATTATACTTGGAGCCAAACCCCTTCAATATAAAAGGGCTTGTTTATCATTCTTGCAGGGCATCTTTTTTGGAGACTTAGACTATCAAAAACTGTATTATTTCCTCTATAAGCAAGAGAGTGATCTTTCTAGTTTCTTAGATTGATTCTATTTTGTCAAATCCTAAATTCATTGTTCATAATTGATTCGCCTGGATTACGTTTTCTCTAACCTATGTTCATCCTTTTATTTATCCTAGCATTCTGTATTAAGTTGTACCACATATCTTCGGAACTGCGTATAAATTCAACTAAACCATTTTTCGGGTAAACAGTTTGGCGCCCACCGTGGGGCCGAGGATAAAAGTGGTCACTTATTTTCGAAAACACCTTCAATTCAGGTTCGGCTACGAATAGCCACCGACCGAATGGCTTCACCGACCGATTACGAAGCTGGCCTTCAAGATGAAACCAACAACTTGGCACTACCCGAGATTCGAGCCGAAATACCACTAGATGTCAATTCATAAATTGCTTTGGAAGCAAACTAGCGTTCCGAACCGGAAAGAAGCATTCAGGGCGGTGCTCGATCTGCAGTCCAAGACACCCAAAACCCAGAGGAGATCGGGGCCAGCTTACGCATGATCTTCGAGATGTTGCAAGCCCAGCAATTAGCGATAGCTCGGCTACAGAGCCAAACTCAAGCACAAAGCAGGCCGGTTTCCAATCCACTTCGAGAGGTCCGGCAGGGGTTACTTCGAGAGGTCACCCCCAGAACAGAGCCTGCCATAGTAGAATCTAACAAGTAGGAATCGGGAACTACTTCCGGAATTACTAAATTGCTCGAGGAACTCACAAAACGAGTCGAAGCCAACGATAAGAAGGTGGAAACGTATAACGCCAGGGTCGATCAAATCCCGGGGACTCCACCAATGGTAAAAGGGCTTGATTCAAAAAAATTCATACAAAAGCCTTTTCCATCGAGTGCGGCACCGAAGCCAATCCCCAAAAAGTTTCGTATGCCCGAAATTCCCAAATATAACGGTACGACCGATCCTAACGAACATGTCACCTCTTACACGTGTGTCATAAAAGGCAACGATTTGGAAGATGTTGAGATCGAATCCGTACTATTAAAAAAGTTCGGGGAGACCCTCTCGAAAGGAGCTATGATTTGGTACCACAATTTACCACCAAAT